TTTTTCTCCGGTACCAGGAACCGAACTCACGACCTTGTGCTTGCCAGGCAGGCGCTTTGCCACTGAGCTAAATCCCCAGCCCCCGCACAGGCTATGTTTGAATTTGAGATTCTCCTGCCTCGGTGCCCCCACCCCCCAAGTGCTGGTATTACTGGTGTGTTCACCATGCTGAACTGTAATTCTCAAACTTCCTACTGAACACACAAGGCATTATTTCTCTTCCCTTCATCTTGCTTCTTTTTTCTTTTGTTTTTAATAAATAAAATATACCATAGATTCATTAGCATAAGTCCCGTCCAAACCCTTGGATCTTTGTTCATTCTAACGCACATCTGTATCCCTTTCCTTCTATTCTAAGAATCCTAAATCAACAATGAAATCAGGAATGACAGAATTAGAATAGAGTTGAGCACGTCTAACCTGAAAATCCAAATGGCCCAAAACCTCCAGTGTTTTGACTATTGACATGACACTGAAAATGTAAAGTTCACACCTGACTTTGTAAGATGCGTCACAATGTAAGGCAGGTGCACAAAGGCTGGGTGTGGTAACACACACCTGCAATCCCAGCACCCAGCAAGGCTGAGGCAGAAGAATCACCCTAAACAAGTTACCAGTGTAGGAAGACGTTATCTCAAAATAAAAATGGTTTTTAAAAGGCTGGCAATGTAGCTCAGTATAAAGGCCCTAGGTTCAACATCCAAGAGTACAAAAAAAAAAGTAACTGCACTAAAAATAGGGTATAAAATTCAAGCTGTGTACATAAAGGGTATATGAACTAAAATGAATTTTGTGTTTAGATATAGATTCGTTCCAACCCTAAGATATCTCATTATGTACATGCAAACAACCCCAAATATTCTGGTCTCTCATTTCAGGTAAGAGATACTCGACCTACAATAAAATTCCTCACTGCCCTGACCCACAACATCCTCGCAGCAAATTGAGAGCAACAGCAGCAACTTGACCAACAGATGATTTCGGTTCCTGTTTGCTCAGCAGGTGGTTTTTTTCCTTTACATGTACCTATCTCTCCTCAGTGGTCCAAATGACTGAATTATATGGTTTCTTGAAATAGCTACTCTTGATATGATTGGGCCACCAACTAGGTATACATTTATGGTTTCACATTCCTTTCTTAAGTGAAAAATAGGGGGTTATTCTTTATTAACATTTTGTTGTGAATGATGCTAATTAATATTAATCATTCATTGTAAAACTTGGTTTTAAAACTTAAAATGCAATAGCTTTATAATCACATAAAGTATAATATGGTTATATAATCAAATGCACAAAAGGTAGTGAAAGTGCAGTTTGTATTTCATTTCCTTTGTGCTATTTTTTCCCTTTCTTACAGGTTTATATTTTTATAGTTATCCAATTTTATGTTATTTCTTTAACCATATGGCATATTTCATTTACCTTCCTATCTCCAAAAATACATTTTTGGTATTTAGGAAAGTTTATATTCTTATTCTAATAATCACATATGTAGTATTATTTTTGTGTAACTCTACCTATAAGCAACATTCTTTTCTTGCTGTCCATTAGTTACTTACTAACAGCAATTTGATTACTGGCTCATAATCACATTTTTACCCTCTAGTTTCACACGTTCCCACTGAGCCACCAGTGGTACACACATAACCATCCCGATGGGCGGCTTGCACCACCAGTGGTACAAATGGCTCTAATCACATTTATCAGTCTTTTACTAATAAAATTAACAGCACCTGATAAAATGGGTTCAAGCCAAGTGGCAGCAACATATAAATTATGGCCCCGTTGTGAACATATTAAGGGTGTTGTTCATAGTAGTATTCAATATACTGGATTCAATAATGTGTTTCTCTTAGGTTTCAGGAACTTCGGGGTTCCTGGCCTGTGCACAATGGCATCTAGGCCAGACAGTGCGCTGAGGTGCACACTGTGCTATAGATAAAGGGTGTGGAGCAGCATCTTTGGCCTCAGTCACTGCCAGTAGCAACGCCCTCCCATCCCAGCTGTGTCAATCAAAAATATCTCTAGACACCATCAGGTGTCTCCTGGAGGAAAACCGTTCCTAGTTGAAAACCACCGATTTAACTAAACCAAAAAAAAATCTTTAATTAACTACAAAATAGCTCAAGGTCAAATGAATGGCAACTGCTAAGAAAACACAGAAAGGCCTCAAGATAAAAATTCTGTGTATTAAATCCAAACCTACCTTGCTTTCCAAACTTAATACTCACATGTTTACTGGGAGAAATTATTCTCTATATACGTTTATCGGCTTCCACCAATTCTTTAAAGAATAAAGAAAAGCTAAGTGAATTCACTCACTGGACAATAAAAATGCTGCTCTTTCTTCAAGGCAAACACTAGAAAGTTATCTGAAAGCCCTTATATTAATCATACCCCTCTGAATGAATGGATGATGTGTGCGGTAGGTAACAGTTACATGATCGTGACCCTTCTATACAGATGCTTAATAGGGACTTACCTAGTGCCAGCCAAGCCCATAAAATATAAACAACCTTAGCATATCAGAATCAGAGTAAGCCTAGGCATGGGATGCTGCAGGCCTGTAACCCCAGCACTCAGAGAGGCTGAAGCAAGACGATCATAAGCCGAGCCCAGCCTGGGCAATTTAAGTGACTTAACAAGACCCTGTCTCAAATAAAAATAAGAAAGGAGTGGGGACATAGCTTAGTAAGAAGGCATGAGGTTCAGGCCCTGTGCACCACCACCTCAAACTGGAGTGAGAAAGTAGGATTTGCATATTATCTCACTAGTGGTTGCAAGACAGCACATAGGCTTGAAATATAATTTCTTTTTCACAACAAAAACAAGACAAAAGGCATATTTATAGTTGAAAGCAGCATTTAAATTTTAACACACAGGACCTGCCAATGTAGGTGGTTATGTCTGACAAACTCTAGTGAATTCAGAGGAGGCAAAAGCCAGGTGATGGAAGGCATGCTGCTCAAATTCTTAACATAACCCCAAAGATTTACCACTCTGAAAATTCTCTTTATGGTGCAACTAAAGGTGCTCCTTTCTTTAGGCAACACACACACACACAATCCACAAAAATAATAACAGAAAGTGCTATATTTGAATGTACACATTAAGTATAATTGATCAAGCAAACATTATGGTCCAAACTTCAGGCACCTTATTTTTAAAAAAAAATTTGTCATGTTTTATGCACACAGGCTTATCCTGAACAGATATCTGTTAAATCATGGGCTCAGGAGGTGAGACTATAAGAAAAGAAAACAAAGGGAGCCGCGTGCCACCTCACAGAACCTCATACACCATGCATGCTACACACCCCACCTTCTCACAGCCACCACCCGAACTAAATCCACCCAGACTGATTTCACTGTATTCCGGCTGACTTGGGAGGCTGAGGCAGGTGAATTGCTGAGCCCAGCCTGGACTACATAGTAAGAGGAGAGAACAAAAGGAAAGAGGGTAGGGAATGAGGGAAGAAGAGAGCAAAAATAAAGGAGTGCTCATAAAGCAATGGCTAGTCTATGCCAGGCTTTCCTGGCAAAGGCATAGATGAGGTACAGCACCTGGGAAGGCTTGGCATGGGCAGTGTCTGAGAAGTGTATTTTTACTGCACTTTCTGATGGACTCTCACACCTGCTAAGTGTTAATGGGATTCTTAGCATGCTCCACATATGCAAACTTTGTCTTCTGCAGAGCTGATGCTGGACCCCAGGGCACTGCACGCTCAGCACGCATTCCACCACTGAGGTAGGCCCCAGCCCTTCTATGTACCTTGAATGAATGATGGAAGCAAATGCACGTTACAAATATTTAGGAACAAATAGCTAAAAGGCTACAGACGGCCAGCATGTGAGCAATGGGAGTAAGAAAAATCCAGGTAATTGAACTTCAACTAGTATCTTTCTTTATCTTCCGTGTGAATTAAAACTCTACTAGTCAAGTAAGCCAAGCCTATTAAAATGGATCAAATTGCCTCCTTCTCTTGCACTCTAGAAAACTAAACCATCTACTCCAAACGCTACCTACCTGTATTCTGTACTTATATATTATCTGTTTTACACGCATACATTATTCTCACTCTACAGATGAATCTCCACTGAAGACTATCAATCAGGAAAACCACAGAAGACCAAGTTTTCCCACTGGAAAAACTGAAGTGTGTCTAAACACAATACAGGTGCCTAAGAGACAGATGAGTTTTAAATTTTCTTATTTTTTTTTTTCTGCCTGAGATAGATCTTGCTATGTAGTTTAGGCTGGTCTTGAACTCGCTATGTAACCCAGGCTGGCCTCAAACTTACAGCAATCCTCCCGCCTCAGCCTCCCAAGTGCTGGAATTACAGGCATGTGCCTCCATGCCCAGCATAAACTTCTTAATATGGACCTTATCCTGAAAAACAGCTCAGAAAATTATAAACACAAAATATTATTTCCAGCAAAAGAATCTGACTTTTCTAAGTAAATCTTCCAGAAATGCTTACCCCAGTTCTTCAAACAAATGTAGCACCCTTCTCATAGAGACGCTCACTGCCCGCTAACTTCCCTGTCCTAGAGATGTCCTCAAACAGCAGCTCTTCCAGACCCTGAAGACAACTTTGTTTCTGATGTCTCTTCTTCTCCAGCTCCTCACATGAGTCCAACTGACATGAGCATCATTTCTCCCTCAGCCCATTGTGAATCTGTGAGGCTGCACTGTTTCACCAGGAAGGCCTTAGATTCCTTGTTTCCCTCCTAACATTCCAATGAAATATACAGGAAGAAGAATCCAAGTAGCTTAACTGCACCAATTGCTAAAGGTCTGAATTAAAATAAGCACAGTCTATTAAAATGAACAGAACTGCCTGCTTCTCTTGCACAAGACATTGGCCTAGACTCTAAACTTAATCGACTTCTGATAGAAACAGATAATGAATTCCATTCACAGGAGCAGGGATGGATAACAAAAGTTGGCGTCCCTGTAAATGAAGATGAAATGTGCAGAGAACAGAGCTTCCACTTACTGGCTCGAAGGACTGAAGGTGTGACCTCAATTTCACTTGTTGCTTGATAAGGCTGGAAGGCGGACACATTGTTGGTACCAAGCTCACTGCCAAATATCTCAGGACTCTGGGTTCCCGTGGAGCTGGCGCTGGTACCATCCCCTCCATGATGTGGGTCTTGCTCATCAAACACAGCTACCAGCTAGGAAAGAGAAGTAAATTTGCATCTGTAAACAAAGTCATTTAAATTACAAAACAATATTAAATAATACTTCGATATTATACCATTTTGACATATTTTTCCAAAGTGGAAAAACATGTTAAGGTGTACAAAGCAAAACCCCAAAGAAATTGTATTTCCCTTAACTTTGATGCTTTACTTTTACACTTCTAATATTTCATATATTTCTAGTGGTGAAAAACAGTAAAACTGATTGCTATCACACAATGGTAAAACAAGGATGGATTTAAGTCTTTTTTAAAATACAGGATATGCTGTTAAGAAGAAAGAACTGGGGGCTGGGGATTTAGCTCAGCGGCAAAAGCGCCTGCCTGGCAAGCACAAGGTCGTGAGTTCAGTTCCCGGTACCGGAGAAAAACCAAAAAAAAAAAAAAAAGAAGAAGAAAGAAGAACTGGCAAAGTATGTGTGGGCATATGTGAATAAGTGTATAAATTCAGTTGTACATATATATGCATACACAATATAAGCGACCCTCCACATATGGAGAAGTAGATATTAAAAACTGTACATCTACCTGTTCATTTCTGCACAAAACATGTAGGAAAAAAGAAAAGAAACTACTGAAATGACTTGTTTATAGAGAACAAATAGGAATAGGTTTCAAAGAAGGAATCAGAATGGACAGGGGCAGCAATGGGAAATGACATTTTTCTGAGTATATTTTTCTGTGTAGCTCAAAACCATAGTAATGATTCACTCACCTAAAACCAAAGCAAATAACTGAAAGCAAACAGGATGGAAGGTACACTGGGGGATAGGGAAACAGTGGTCCAAAATGGCACGAAAACAAATAAACCTAACTATGCTACAAATAAACACTGCGACCACATTGAGCAAGGTGGGAAAGAGAACTGCTAGCTTACCTTTGAAAGCTGCGTTTTAACGTAAATATGAAGACAAAAAGGAGTGTCACCCAAATCCTGTGTGCTAGTTAGTAAAGTTGCTTTCTAGAAGTACACAGCTTAGCAATTCTCACTCTACTACAAACGTACACACATGCATAAACACACATATCAGGAATGGAAAAAAAGATATTCTGGATAATGAAATGCATTTCAGAATTCAGGAATAAGGAAAAGCTAATTCTGCCAATAGGCTGGAATCAGAGGCATCACTTGAATTCAGGGTTTTTATAGGTAGAAACAATCAGGTGCCACCTAACAATAGGATAAATTCTGCATCTGCATCCCTGCATGATTCCACCGTGGTGTGAACATCTGAGAGTGTGCACAGATAAGCCTAGGCTGACACATCTACCAATGGGTGTGGCATAATCAAGTTTCATGGTCTGCATCAGATGTAGGAAGCTACTGCTGAATAATGAGGCATACCGTTTTATCATGAATGGTTTTTATAAGTACACTCAAAAATAATAATTAGAAGTACATACATAGAGGAGTTAAACAGGCATTTGTTATCAGTGTCCAGTATCACATATTGTACATAACTGTAGGTACAATACACTTCTACGTCTACCAGCATAGTGGGTTTCTTTCCATCAGCATCAGCAGAAACACGTGAGTAATGTGTTACACTGTGATGTCACTAAGCATAAGGAAAATTTCAGCTCCATTATGGAACCAGCACTATATATGTGGCTCAGTGTTGATGGAAATACTATAATGCAGTGCATGACAATGTTTAGACACATAGACAGATACAGATGAATGCTAATGCATATGAGTATACAAACACAAAAAATTTGATCCATGTTTAAAATAAAATTTACTGTGGAGACACATTGCCATTTATCCCTTCAAAATAAACTTCAAGTACACTTAATACATCATTCTTGCCCCTTTCTGAAGCAGCTCTAGAAGTCCTCTTTCCTGAGTGTCTTTAGTTGTGTTATCATGGCTGCCTCAGTGTCCTGAATCAATTCAAAATGTTCATCCTTCGTGATCATTTTTTACTTTGAGGAAGAGCCAGAGGTCACATAGTGCCAAAAACAGTGAATAAGGTAGATGAGGACATATCCTCATGTTTTTACAAGCCTACTGTTACACATATTTTTTTTTAATCACACCTTCTAGAGAACTGCCAGTGGCAAAAATGGTGGGATAAGTGTTAGAAGTGATGGAGGCATGGAGGAGGTATTTTCAGGGAGATTAATGGCAATGTGTTTTTTACTGTAATACATTTTAAAAATTCAAATATTTACCAGATATTTTGATTATACCTTGTACTTTCTGGTTATGTTCACTGAAAGGTCATAGAATCATAGTGCTCATGTTAGTTTCTAACATTGTTCTCCAATAAACAAGTCAAGGCTCCTTGGGGAAAGTGGCTGATTTTAGGGTTGGGAGCAGGAAAAACTCAGGATAAACTGGAATGATATGTAATGCTGAGAGTAATGAAGCATTCAAAAGTGACGAAGGCACACAGAAGGGAAACACATGCCAACTTGATGGGGATCCCAGTAGCAAAAACTTCAATAACCTTTAAACCAATAGGCAGTGCCAGGTGTGGTGGTGTATGCCTATAATGCCAGCACTCAGAAGGCTGAGGCAGGAGGACTGTCACAAGTCTGAGGCCAGCCTGGGATACATAGTGAGATCTTGTCTCCAAAAAAAGAAAAAAACAATGCTAGCACTGAATCATAATCCAAAGAATAAACTAATATCCATGGTTTCATAAATGGTAAAAAATGGACAACTGTTCCCTACAACGGTGTTCCAAATGATAAAGATAGTTATAACAATGGAAATAGAAGTCTTAACTAGGCAACTTCCAAAGTAATAATCTGTAGATGAGATCTACCAAGGGATGCTAAAGGTATTGCACGAGAATAGATGAGAAACAGGTTATTCACACATCTCAAAATGACTCCCCATAAGCTCTGTTTCAACTGAAAAAGGAAGACATTATCTTTGCAGTGGAGGAACCTGGCAGATACCACTTCACCAGTGATAAGACCTGTCAGCATCAGGTGCCACCCAACAAAACGCAGTGAACAGGACAGAGCATCACTGCTGTGGTTGTATTTCTACCAAAAATGTGTAACTTCAGTTTAAATGTGAGACACCAGACAAACCCAAATTCAAGGACGTTCCACAAGATTATACTCTCAGAGTAAAAAGTTCATGGAAGTAAAAGAGGGAATGCTGAAATTCTGGAGACAAAAGAAAAAATGAGAACTTCATAGAATACGATCCTTAATGTATCCAGGATTAGAAAAATGGATCTCAGTGAAAGAGACAAAATTTAAATAAACTCTGAAGATTAGTTGACAGAATTGTTGCAGTGATTTTTTTTATAATTGTATTATGATTATACTGGATGTTAATATATTTCAGATAAATGAAGGGTATTTAAAACAGTCTATTTTCCAACTTTATGGAATTTAAAATTTTTTCAAATTAAAATTTTTAAATGTTACATACTAACGTACTTATGAAAATAAAAATTCATTCTGTGTCTTCTTATAGCTAATACAGTTCTTAGAAGTCTAACACACCCACAAAAAAAGTCTAATACCTTTATTTAAAAGGATCAACAAGTGCATCTCCTTAGAAATTCATCTTCAGCTAGCAACTAAGATCAGCATTGCAAGGAAAGGGGAGCCATTGGGTGTGGCAAAAATGAACCACTTCTGCCGGTTCCAGCCCAAGCTTTTTCAATGCCCATACTCCTAGAGTGAAAGGGCAGTAAGATACATTCACAGAATAAGAACTGTAGTTATAATTACAATCCTTATTTCACCCTTTTGTCATTTTGAACAAATGCTGTTTTCATGAACATTTGCATATCATTAATCAATTCATGAAATAAAACCATCGTAATGTCACAGAGACATGCAGACAAACAGGAAGCTCAGACCCTGCTGTGGTATAATATACAATTAGCTGATTAAATAATCCAGTGGGGGGTTAAGTGGTAAGAAGAAAGCAAAGTATGATAAACACTTGGGCGACTCAACCTTATAATAAACAACGCAAGTTGGAAAAAAATCCTTCATAGCTACAAAAAAATAGAAAGGTGCTTGTAGGTGTACACCAAAGTTTCCATGTTCCACAAGTACATCAGCTTATTTATCTGACATTCACTAGCAAATGTTTCCCTGTATTAGAAGCCTAGATATTCCACTAGATCAGGGATCGGCAAACTCTTCCTGGAAAAGGTCAGAAAGTAGACTTTCAGAGCTGTAGTCCACATCATCTCTGTCAAAATTATTTTAGTTAGCCATGACAGCACAAAAATTGCTATAGGCAACAACAAATGAATGTGGTTATGTTTAAATAAAACTTTATTCACAAAAGCATGTAGCCAGCCAAATGTGTCCATGGGCTACTGTTTGACCATGCTCCTCTAGACTGCCTCTTTGCCATGACCCATGCAGCCAGCAGGGTCCTGAGAGGTGGTGACAGAAGATTAAAAAAAACTAGACACATACTAAAAGGAAAGCTGGGACTGGGTGAAACCTGTCCTCGCTGGTGAAGAGGCAGCCATAACCCAGCACAGTCTGTGTCTTTATTTATACACAATAAAAGGAAGGGAAGCACATTGACAGAGTCAGAAGTGCAAGGTCTCAGTGTTTTGCTGAGAACACTGAAAGTGAAACATTTCTGAGCTATCTGTGCTGTAGTTAACAGGGAGGAACACCAAGGCCAGACATCTGCTGGACTGGCTTTGCTCTAGTCCCAACAACTTGTTCACGTGGCTTGCCTCTGGCACTCCATGTTCTCGGGGCCTTGCTCTAGCTCCAAATGTTCAGTTGATCTCCAGCTCAGCCTCTCGTTTCCTTTCCAGAAATAAGAAGCTTTAGGCTTTGGATTTGGGAAATCTAAAAGTCAAGGTACTTTTGTAAGTCTGAGAAGCTAACAATATCCATTTCAAACTCTTGATCAGGATTTAGGGTTTCTGCACTTGATTTTAATAACATCATACTTTTCATAAGGTATGTGGCTTAATATGCATTTTGAAGATATTAAGTTTTGACATTTTGGTGTATAATTGGAAG